AAACAACTTAATTAGGAGATTATTCTCCAACCAGCCATACTATTTCATATGCTTATATTTTGTAAATGTTTCTCAAATACTATAAACCAAACCTCTACATGTACTATGTCCTGTTTGAGTCACTGCTACTGTGGATGAAAAAGGGCCACATACTAAACCTGAGAAGTTCAGGGAAGGCCTGCATGGCGGGCCCTACAAACTCAGAGACCAAAATTAACCACATAGGATGGTCTGAACATAAAAATTCCTAACTAAAAGTGGGTCATGGTAAGTAGTCACATCCTTGGCCTGTAGCTTCCTTAACAAAGGTCTACCTTTACCTTAATGCTTTACCTTAAATGAGCCTGTCTATTGTCTTTTGCATCTAAAATAACATACCCTTTTAATGCCACATAATCCCCTTTTTTCAGAGTCCTCAGGGCACAATTTACCATCATACCAGAGCTAGACCACAGAACCCCTCATATTTATCTTGTTCCCCAAATACCATCTCTATGTGCTGTAAATGTTAATTGTCATGTACCCACCAATGTAAAAGACGTATGTGTCTCTCCATTTTACTGTTTATCCAATCCCAGAGATATCCCTGCTTTGCTTTCTCCCACCCCTTGATCTACCACCAATGAATTTCATGTAACCCTCCTTACATCTCCTCAATAGATTCTAATGTAGAAAACAAGCTGCAAAACTGCCATTCTCCAGAGCATTTTCTTAATCCATTGAGATTTTGCTTCCTGGCAATTGTTATCAGCTTGGCTCAAATAAACTCACTAAAATTCTGTACAGGTTTAGACATTTCTTAAGTCCACACAATTCACAGGCAGTGCAACCTTGAAAAAGTTAATTAACCTCACTGTGCTGAAATTTCCTTATGTCTAAATATAAAATAATACTCCTAGGTACCTCATAGGATTGTTGTGAGGCTCAAGTGGGTTAATTAACGTAATACTTAGCACAATGCTTAGCTATGTTAGCCATTTTATTATTATTATTATATTATTATTATTTATTCTTTTTATTCCTGCCTTATCCCTTGACAAACTCCTGCTCATCCTTAACGTCTTGTTCAAGTATCATTTCTTTGAAGCTATTTTGACATCCTCCCACCCCAGGCAGAATGTGCACTTGCTCTTTTGTGTTCATAACTACACTTTATAATCTAGCTCTACTATTGAGATATTCCTTACTGAATATAATTATTAACATATTTCTCTTTCATATCCTATTGTGCACATCTTGAGTGCAAAAATTCCCTTCATCTATTTCTGTATCCTTAACATTCAGCATGTTGACTGGTAAAATTAAAAAAAAAACTGACTGAATTTTTTTATGTGAATTATTGTTTTACAGAGCTTTCTAGGCTATAGTAGCAACAAGTGTTGTAAAATGTCACCATGAAAATCATGAAATGTCATATTTTGTTAGAAAGATTTTCTCTTCTCAAGTAATAAAATTAATCAGTAAGAATCATTTTAAACCACAAACCTGACTTAGAGGACTTGGGACTCTGTGACAATTACAAATCATTGATTTTGTGGTGAGACCAAGCAGGGGAAAGGAAAAGTGGAAGCTGTTTTCAACAAGAAGTCTTTGGGGGTGATAATTTGTCTTTTAAAATGAGCAATATTTAAATGTGTAAGTCTTAAAATTAAATTTTGTAGACATTTTCTCCATTTTATCAATATATGCGAATTGACTAAAAAGTGGTGACTCTAGCATAGATAAAAAGAAATGTCATGCAGCAAACAATCTTAGTCCTCTGTAAGGTCCTTATTTTTAGAATGAAAGCAGACAAATAATAGTTTTGGGGTGAAGTACAACTTCTGAATAATGTTTAGAGGTAAGCATAAAACACTGTCTTCCTCCTCTACCCTCTTGACACACACTACAAGCTCTAGAAACTATAGTTTCCTGAGGGGAAATAGAGCAAGATTAAAGAAATAAGACGAACTGGAGTGAAGCCATGTAAGAAAGACTCTTTTCCCAAGAACTACTTGCACATGTCTTTAAACGACAGTTCCATTATATCATCTTGCCTTGTCCTCTGCCCCAGCAATGGAAAATGGTACAGGCAGATGCATTTAGAAAAGACAGAATAATTCAAGTTTTTATTTTCTTTCTGCCTAAAGCTTTTCCAGCCAGGAAGCCTTCCTCTCCTTACCTCTGTTTTTCAGTGGAGGCAGTGTAGGGTGTAGATCTTTATTACATTCATTCCGTTCTGTGCAGCATTCAATTGATCTTCTTTGATGTGGAATGGGAGTGTCCTAAAATTGAACCCAAAGAACTATGAATGGGTTTCCCCTAAATTACACAGTCACATAATCTCAAACTTAAGAAATTAACACTATTTAGAGAACTCACTGAAAATTCTTACTCAAACATGTCAAAAATACTGTGTTCTATTAGGCACTTTCTTTCAAATTATCATGTATTATTCAACTGCAATGCCTTCATTTCAACAAAATCATTGCTACCCATGTAATTGCAAGTGGGCACAGTATAAACTGAGGAAGAAGGCCTGACTTAATGAAATTAACTAAACTGGAATTTGAGCAAGATCTAATGGGCCACTAAGCCAGAAGTTAACATCAAAAATAAAAATAATATTTAATTTCAAAATGAGGATAGAATTGGCCCAATGATAATGTTCAATTTATTTTCCAAAATACAAAAAACAGGCTAGTAAAAAAATAAATAAAAATGAATTAATTAAAAAAATTGTTTTATCTTGTTTGAAATTGGACCATTTGAAATCTAGCCAAAGAAAGGTTACAAGGTAGAATCAAGTTATCTTCCTTACCCGACACTGAAAATCTGAGCCTTCTAGTCCTAGACATCCAGAAGTGACCACAGGCATCCCAGAATCATCTTCTTCTATCATTGTGAAACAATATCCATCTGTGCTAAAGACCAAACAGGCAAAATAAGACGGGATGAGTGAGTGTATGTGAATGTGTGTGAGTGTGTGTGTGTGTGTGTGTGTGTGTGTGTGTGTGTGTGTGTTTGGGGAAAAGGAAATTAAGATGTTTATCACTTGTTTCATTAAAAGCAAGGAGAAGGTCAACGATCATTACAGGTCACAATCTGTTAAGAGAATCTCAAAACTTCCTGTTATGAAAGTTAATTATCATAAAACATTTGGTAATATCTCCTCTGTCCAGAAACTTGTGAGAAAGAAGGATCTAGAATTTCCATGTAACATGTACCATTAATAACTATATATACCAATTACTAAGCACTTACTTGGGTCCTTTGGAGGGATTGTTTTCACAAATCCAGAAAAACAACTCTGTGGGGAAGATGATAGTATTCTTACCTGCTATACGAGGAAACTGAGGCTCAGAGAACTTGGGTAATTTCCAAAGGCCATCTAGCTGGCGAGAGGCATAGCAGGGGTTTGAACCCAAGCAGGTGAACTGGTTCTACCTGCCCTGACATAGTGAAATAAACTTATCTCTTACTAAGTCTCACAAACTAAAGAGGGGTAGGAATCAGCACAGCATAAGTGAGGTAATTTAAGATTCTGCCTTTTGGCTATCATCAATAAATCAACAAACAACAAATGTTGGCGAGGTTGTGGGGAAAAGGGAACCCTGGTGCACTGTTGGTGGGACTGCAGACTGGTGCAGCCACTATGGAAATCAGTATGAAGGTATCTCAAAAAACTGGAAATGGAACTATCTTATGACCCAGCAATTCCACTCTTAG